TAGTGGCTATTGGTTAGCTGGTCCCCATCTTGACCTCTTTATCATTGGGACCAGGTGCATATCTAGTGTGTCCTGTATTTGTTACTGTGTTTATTTATTCTTTATCATTGGGACCAGACTATCTCTCACAGTGCTTGCAACACCTGGGAGTGGATAGAAAATCCTAAGAATTGGAAGCAGCGGGATGTTGGCATGAACTTGTGTCAATCAGTGCCTTGGTGTAGCACCCAGATTGGTGCGCCAAACGGCTGAAGCCCTGAGACATTGGGCTTCTCTCCCCAGAACGCCTTGTGCAGTGTTTGCTGTAGGTGAGATGGCGCCTTCACTGGTGGCTGGTTCTTGATGAAGCAGGCGTGTTGGACAGCTTCTGGCCAGAGATGCGCGTTGAGTTTTGCTCCAAACAATACAGCTTGTGCATTTTTGAGCAAGGTGCGGTTGAGATGTTCAGCAACACTGTTTTGGGCAGAAGAGTATGGAGCAGTTAGCTCCCAGTTGACTCCTTTGGAGTCAAGCCAGTCAAGACTGCCCTGGTTCACGTACTCCTTCCCGTTGTCAAAGCAAAAGCATAACACATTGTGCTTTGCCTACTTGCGCATGAATGTGACGTAATCCTTGATTGCCTGAAAAACGGTGCTGCCCTTCTTGTCCTTCAAAAACTTCAGGCGGCTGTGTGCGGAGGCAGCATCTGTGAATGAAATGAAGTAATGTTCTCCTCGGGGTCCTTTCACATGAGCAGGACCCCACAAGTCCATATGAACCATATCTCCAATGTTGCGGTGGGTACATTGCAACTTCTTTGGGAAAGAATGCATATGGACCTTCCCTTCAATGCATGCCGTCCACTGTTGGAATGGACACAACTTGTCAACTTCCATTCCATCAACCATTCCAAGTTGTCTCAGCTCTTGGACTGCAGAGTGGTTCAGATAACCAAGTGCCAACTGCCATTTGTCCCAAGTGCAAGCCAGGTGGGCCTAGGAGTCAACCACCTTCAGTTGGTACATATGAGCAACCTTGTTGCCTTTGGCCATTAGAACGCCGTTGCAAGAGCAAATTTCAACAACATTGTTGAAGAAGTTGAAGAAGTCGACTCTAAGGGCTGCATCTGTAAGCCTTCTAACCAAGATGAGATTGAAAGGAGTGTCCGGGCAGTGTATGACGTTTTTGAGTGTGCCAGCTCAAGTGAAATCTCTGAGTGCAAAGGTTAGATTGACCGTCCCCTTGCCAATGTCTTTTGCTGCACCAAAGCCGAGAATAGTGTGCTTACTTGAGGTATAGCAGGTGAAATCAGATTTATTGCGGACTATGGATTGGCTACAGGCACCATCTAGTAACCAGTTGTCTGAGTCAAGTTTGAGCTTGCTTGAGACGGCGGCGGCGGCGGCAAACCCATCTTATCATTGGAGTCGCTGTACTCCTGCTTCTCCTTTTGCAACATGGGCTTGTTGGGGCTTCCCACAATGAGGAGGTCCACAGCGGCGGCGGTTGTTGGTGTTGCTGTTGTGACGCTGGTTGCTACGCTCCTGCTGCTGGTTGGGGTGGAAGCCAGGCTTGTCATAATCAGAGGCAAAATGCCCAATCTGATTACAACAAAGCACTGGGCTGTAGAGCGGTCAATGGAGGGGAAGGCGTTGGACTGAGAGGCGCAGTCATTGAAACGGGCAACCTCAGCGAGAATGCAAGAGATAACTTTGGAAGAGTTGGTGAGGGTGTCTTCAGGGATGGAGGAGATGAAGGGGTTCCATGAGTTGGGTAGGGAGCTGAGGAGGGCAATGGAGAAGTCGGTCTCAGTGATATTCTAGTTGAGGCCAGTGAGCTCAGCCTGGTATGACCTCATTGTGGAAGGGGATCATAGCGGGCCTCGGGGTCTTGCAACTCCTCAAGTTAGCATTCCTTGTATAAGGCCTTCATTTCAATCAGCCAGAAATGGTGAGCCAGAGTGATTGTGCTTCACCCAGTGCAGAAAAGTCACAAGCATGTGTGCAGGGCCCCTGGTGCTATCCGACTACAGAAGTACGTTCAGATAGGGTATTCGGAGGTCATGCAGTATGGTTACTTGCGCTGTAAGACTGTCGCAGCAAGTCCGGGAGCCTGGATACCCGGGTAAGAATAGCAGAACTCACAGCAAATGTCTGAGCTCCAGCTTGAGCATGTAATTCTTGTTGCTACACCAAGGGTCAGATCTGTGTGTCTTCTTGGTCTAACCGCCAGAGGGAAGCTGTAAGCTGTTCCAAATACCCAACACGTGGCGGAGCTATCTAACCTGTGGAAGAGCGGATTGATTGAAGTTGAACCTTAATATGTCTGTGGGAGGAAAGTTCAAGGCAGTGCTCCAAAGATGGCTTAAGGAAAAAGCCAGGTCCGGAGGGTGGATACACCAGAGCCCGGAATCATTGTGTTGTTTGACATCAGAGTGAGGATATGTGCATGTAGTAGCTGCATGCAGAACAGGGGGGAAATGTCAGAGAGGTGGCCAGACCTTGGTGACAGTCCTGGGACAATCAAGGATAAATTTATCCTCAGGTCTAGCCCCAAATTTGGGCAGAACGCTGCTTGACCTTGCTTGGGCAACTCAAAGCGGCCTAAAAATTAATTCCACGCTTGACTGGGTGACATCTTATTGACGTGGTGAAGGTAAGTTGACACTGGTCATTGCCGCACATCTGAATCCCAGCAAAAGGCAGCACATCCTCTGGACAAAAGACACAAGAGAAAAGAGTTACAACCACCTACTATGTGTAGCTTGGGGGCAAGCAAGCGGCGGCGCTATGAACCGGTGGAGGAATCAATTGATGAAACTTTAACATCTCCGTGTGAAAACAATTTAAGGCAGTGCTCCAGAGGGGCTTCAAAGGCATCCCAAAAGAGGAGGCCCAAAGTTTTTCAAATAAGATTAGTCTTCATTCCAAATCATCCAAGGTGGAGAGTCAGGCCTTAGAGTTGTTCTGTTCCTCCAGAATCAGAACAAGGCTATGCATGCGTACATGCTAGCCAAACAAAGAACAAGGGAAGATTGGAGAAAGGTAGGGTGATAGTCATGAGATGAGGAGTGGCCTGAGAGTTTGATCTTGGCTCAGGCTGCGGCTTAGGGTTAGAACACTTGCTGCAGTGACTCAAAGGGTGGTGGGAATGAAGTTCAGGCACAGTTGAACGCAGGATAACAGACATTGGGATGGTATGAAGGCCGTTGCCACAAGAGTAATGTGCCTGAGTTGCATTGAGAAGGTCAGAGATGGGCAGCACAGCCGTGCCTCGCATTGCAAAGGGCAATGATTAGTGACAGCAGTAGGAAGAGGTCCGAGGCCCGGTATAGGGACAAACGGTCTCAACGCATGTAAGGTATTCTTAACAAATAGAGAATCATATATACACTCAGTAATGCCATCCATGTGCTATAACTATGCTGTAGAGCTGTAGACAATAGTAAGAGCAACACTGCCAGGGCAGATCCGCAGGATACATCAAGAACTTAAGACGCTCTGAAAGACAAGCTTGAGTGTAGCCTGAGGGTGGAATAATATGGGTAGAGCCTGAGGTATCCGCCAACAACGCATAGCCTAGGTAGTAAGCCGGTGTCCATGTCTATGTTGTTGGCGGAGTACCGGAGCAAAGTTCCCATGCCAGGCCCTGTGTTGACAAGGCAATGTCCTTTATTAATCCATTAGCAACATCTTGAAAGAGGTTTGAGAGCAAGTAATAAGAACGCACCATCCATCTGTTAAGCCTGTGCGAGCTCTGCTTGAAAGACCAATGGATGAGTCCTTTAGCGAACAGATCTTGCTTTTAGTCTGACGCTCTCCTGAGAACCCGTGGATTTGGATTTGGAAGAGTAGATGTCTGAGGGCCGATTTGGACAGGGAAAAAGAGAGGAAGGGCTGGCTAGGCCAGAGAGAGCCAAGGGTGGTTTCAAAGAGGTAATCGGACTAGCAGTAGTCTAGCTAAGTCGATATTCCAATTGCAGAACCTATCTACTACAATCGGTTTTATAAAGGGTAGTAAAATAAACAGGTACAAACATGGAGTCATCCTGTGGAGCTCAGGCTGTGCAGTTCTTGATCACAAGTACTACCTCTGAGTCAGCCTTGGAGACAAGGCTGTGCAGTCAAGAACAATGAGGGTGTTCATGTGAACACTCATAGGATGCAAAGGAATATTCTGGAAAGGGAAAGGAATATTCTGGAAGGAGTAGAAATATGTGATCTTGATAACAGAAGGCACAGAAGGAATGCAACCTCAGTAAAGGGAGGAGTCACACTGATGCATGAATATAACACCATCTCAGGTTCCTTTGCAGCGGACAACAGAGGAAAGAGAGAAACACCGGCATAACCATAGTCTAAGACCCGTTGTACCCTAGCTCAAGAACCTTCTCGCCTCAAAGTCCATCCCTAGTGTCATGCGTGTGTGGTGAACGCGTTGGCGAGGCCAGAGGTGAGAAACACAGTGGTGCAGCGGCAGATACACAAAGGTAAACCAGAATTTATACAGGTAGCAACTAAGACCCAGAGGCCAGTGTACAGGCGCACAGAAACGTCTCTTAATGCGCAGATTACATGTCCTGCATTAATGATGCCGTTATCTAAGGTCAACAGACAACGGGCAAGGTCATAAAGCACACCAAGTCCTTCTCTCCATTAGTACTGTTGAGCTTGTGTGGCGAGATCGTTGGCATAAACTTGAAGGGTCTAAGCTTGAGGTGTACAGTTTATACAGTTGTCAAAAGCTGCCAGGAAGCTGTAGTGGTGTCAAGCATCAACAGGTCCAGTTGGTCCAATTGAGCTGCCAGCACAGATTCAAGTTGGCAGTCCAAGCACAGGTGTGGTTCCATTCAATGTGAAAGACTGAAGAGATAGCTTGTCTCTGTTTGAGCGAGAGTGACAGCGCAATGGTTCGTGATGGTGGTAAGGTTGAGCAACGGTGAGGGGAGGCAAGTGGTACCCGAGATCCCTTGGCCAGAGTACTGAAGGTGTATTTATTTTAACCTTGTTGGCTCTGGCAATGAGCGCCTGGCGCAATGGTAGCGCATCTGGGTCCGGTATAGTGGTTTACGTCAACGTCACACCAGAAGGCTGCAGGTTCGAGCCCTGCGGTGCTCGTCAGTTGAACGAAGTTATTTTTTGCCGTTCGAAACTTCTTTTTGCCGTTCGAGAGTCGAAGAGTCGAAGATGATGAACCAGGACTTCCAACTCGTAACAACTTAGACTTACTCACTCAGAGAGACGAATGCCGATATTTGTTTGCGCCCCGGAGCTCGAGCCAGAGTATTATAGAGGAGTATTTCGAGTAGTCGTACCAAGGGGTTGGAGATGCAGACAGCAAGTGTTAATTGTAATGATAGTGAGTAGTACTACTGCACATCTTTGAGATCCCGGAGGTAGAATTGGACTGTTGCAGCTTACAGCTGAGTATAGTACGCTACCCGGTCGCTCACTGGACAGTATCCTGAGGTCCAGCAGAGCAAGTCATTTAGACTCCGGTGACAGACGACGCCGGGAAACATGTGCATACTTTCTCCCTCCAAACCCGGTTGCCATGAATGGCATGGCATATGTTTGCCCTACCTTTCCGTGTACTAGAGTACTTCTGGCAGAAAGTCGCCGTGAAGCAATTCGCCGATGAAAGTGCGGACCGTCCGGCGGGGAGATCCGGGGGTTGATCATGATGCTAGGGGCGTTGGGCGGTGCGATGGCGATGGGAGGTCTGGCACTGGGTAGTATCATCGTTCACCCAGAGGAGTTGAAGATTGAGGCAATTTTACGCCCTTATGCAGGATCTATAATCACACCTTCGACCCGAAGTATCGAGCAAAGTATCGAGCAAGGACGGTGAAGGAGGTGCTTAAACACCCCGAGTCCTCTCCGGCGTCTTCAACTGTTCAGCCCTAAGCATAGCCCAGCACTAGTCCATCCATCAAGATCAAGAACAAACACAACCACCGTTCGGCGGTGCAAGTCGCTGATCAAGAATAAGTTACTTACTTAGCATTGGAGAATCTTACTCAGTGGTCCGGAAGAACCTCCCTCGCCCCTGGACCTTGCTTGACGACGGCCATCGAATCGATCACGCGGCGTGCCGACTGACCCTTGTCCTCCGTCCATCCATCTTTCACGGCGACGACTTTCCTCCCGCTCTTTATCTCATCGGGATCGACGTCGACGACTACGACGAGGAACAAGGAATAGTGGTGATTGCCAAGAACGGACTATAGGAAGGATTTCACGCACGGACGGAAACACGATACACCTCACCTCATTGGCCCAAGCACCCTCACCTCATACCCTTACATCTCTCCCCAACTCCAACTGAAGTAAGCATCACACGATGTCCTACCCGAATCTAACCCCCTCCCGCCCCGCCCCCCAAGCTCCCCTCCGCACAGGCCCCTCCACATCAAGCCAATACACCTCCCCCACCTCCATGCTTGGCTCTGCCCAGCCCTTTGCTTCCTCTTCGGGAATCGGCGGATCTCCTTCTAGAAGCGTCGGAGGAGGTAGTATGGTAGGAGGAGGAGGTGGGGGTGGGTATATAGTGAGGAGCGGGAACGTGATGGTGAAAGAGGATGGGTTTGCGAGTTGGTGGAAGGCGAAGTGGTTGGTTCTCACGGAGGAGACGTTAACGATGAGGAAGACTGAGGTACATTCTCTTCCCATTCTGCATCTAATTACCAAGTCGCTAATGTATCGCGCAGAACTCAGCCGCCCAAACAACCCTCCACCTCCGCGACGTAACTAACATCGAGCGCACAGACCTAAAGCCCTACTGTCTCCTCCTAGAATCCTCCTCCTCCCCCTCATCCTCTTCCTCCGCCCCGAAGAGGAGGTTCTGGTTCAGCTTGAAATCGGACGAAGAGGTGTACGGGTGGCAAGATGATATATACGCGCGGACGCCGTTGAGTGGGTTTGGAGGACCGACGAATTTCGTGCACAAGGTACATGTGGGGTTCGATCCGGTTACGGGGGCGTTTACGGTTAGTGTCTACTTATCCCTTTCCCCTCTCTCCCTCCCGTATCCCACCCCACTGCCTTTCCCTCTTCTTCCGCCCTCTTTCTTTCCGCGATGCTGACAGGACGAACACACAGGGTCTCCCGGAACAATGGTCCAAACTGCTCACCAAATCCGCGATCACGCCAGCGGACTATGCGAAGGATCCACAGGCGGTGCTGGACGTCCTCGAGTTTTATACGGATCATCAAAAGAGGGAGATGGAGGAGAGTATGGGTGAGTTGTCGTTTTTCTCTGTGGTGCTTCTTTTGTGTTGCTTCGAGTTGGTTTTGCGTATTTGGAGCTAGGATTCAATTTGGGTTCTTGTGGGCTGGTTTGAGGTCTCGGGGAGTGGTTTGAGCGTGGGAATGGGGTTGGATTATTTTTGAAAGCAGCTTCACAAATTCGTTCGGGTGCGGGACGTATATCGTGTGGCGGTCGATATGGAAGTGGTGGTGTTCGACCTTTGATATCGGGCGGTGGTGGAAGCCGTGTCGTGTCGTTCGAGGCTGGTGGACTTGCTATGGTCCAGCTTCTGTCGCCACGCATTATCCCCATTGCCCCCGCACCTTTTTCGTGTCATGGCCCTTCTTCCTCCTGTTCATCGTGCTTCATGGCAATGGTCGCTTTTGGTTGGCTGCATGACCGGGCCTTGCTGTTCTGGGGGGACTTGTTCTCGCGTCGGAGCTGTTGAGTTGGATTGGGGGCGGGATGCGATGGTGGGACGGAGGTGTACGGGATCGATTGGACGGGACGGGATGTGTGGCGGAGGCCGTTTTTGTGCGCGGGATGGGCGTGGGGGCGACTGTATGATGGGCATGGGGACGACTGTATGATGGGCAGGGAGGGGATATGAACGAGAACTGGTCTCGATGTGTGTGTGTTTGGTGGATGCGGGGGAGATATCGGACTTGCTAAATGGCGTTGAATGTGTGTTGGGCTTGCGGGATGGGGAGCAGGGTTTTGGCTTCGTCTTGGACTCTGCGGTTATCTTCTCTCTTTCTCTGCGCGTGATTTACGTTTCTCTGCGCATTTTGCTTCCACTTCGACCTGTGGGCTTTCGTGTTACTGGGGATAGTTTGTTGGGACGTGTGGCTCGGGCCACTCCATGTTTTCCCTCCGTGCTCGCACTCGCTTGTTTTTCATCCTTTTGTTCCCTCCCTTTTATCCGTCCCGCTTCTAGCCAATATGCTCGTACTAACTGCCTCCTTTCCCCGAAGGCGCCGCCGTTCCCCGCTTCAACGCCGGTACCGGCCTCGCCGGCATGTCCCGCCTCCCATCCACCTCTACCCTCGCCTCATCCATCACAGCAACAACCCTCAACAACTCTCAATCCTCCCTCGACCACAGCCGCCCCTCCATGTCCCGCAACGACACTGCCCCCGCCGGCTCCGGCGGGACCGTCTCCGACCTCGCCCGCGCCGCAGAGCTCGTTAACGGCGGACACGCCGCCGCTCTGGGAACAGGGACCCTACAAGCTTCCCGGCCCGCACCTCCCAGGCCGTTGTTGACAGCTACGAGGGCTGCGCCACAAGCTCCCGGAAGCAGGACGGGGGCGGGAGAGGTGCCCAGTATGGCGGAGTTGAGGGCGAGGCAGCCGCCGCAGAAACCGTCCGCGCATCATGGGGGTGGGGGACATGGGATTGCCCCGCTGCCGCCATTGGATAAGGCGACTCCGCCGAGGAAAGATTCATTAGCTGATTCTATGGCGAAGACGCATCTTGGACCTGGGCATTCGAAAGATCCAAGTAGGCCGCAGATGGTACCGGCAAAGAGTATGCCGGGGACTACGACGCCCGCGAGTCACCCTGTTGGTGGGGCTGCTGGTGCGACCGCTGGTCCGCCGCCTGTGAAGCCTTTGCAGACGGTGAAGAAGGTGCAGCTTGATGAGAGCGGGGCGGCTGCGAAGAAGGCTGCTGATAATGTCAGCAAGGGTGTTGCGGATGCTGCTGCTGCACTTGAGAAAGGATCTGGTACGGGAGGAGGGGGAGGGAAAGGGGAGAAGGGAGAGAAGGAGAAGGAGAAGAGGATTAGTACCATGACGGAGGTGCAGATTATGGAGAAGCTGAGGCAGGTTTGTAATGAGGAGGATCCGAAGGCGATTTATAGCAAGATTAAGAAGATTGGGCAGGGGTGCGTTTTCACCTTTGTTCCCTCTTTCCAGCCCTCCTCACTCCCTTCCGCTTTCCTCGTGTGCTACCTTCCCTCCCTTCATCCCATTCTTCCCCCTCGACGCCTCAGTCATCTCTTCCGCCTATATGCTTCCATCTTTACCCTCTCCCTCCTCCCGCTCTCTCTGCAGTCCCTATGCTAACGCATCGCCCACAGTGCCTCCGGCCACGTCTACGTCGCCAAAACCCTCGCCACCGGCAAGAAAGTCGCCATCAAAGAAATGGATCTCGCACACCAACCCCGCAAAGAGCTCATCGTGAACGAGATCCTCGTCATGAAAGAATCGCAACACCCGAACATTGTCAACTTCCTCGACTCGTTCCTCGTCAAGTCGACGGAATTGTGGTTGATCTTGGAGCTGATGGAGGGAGGGGCGCTGACGGATGTGATTGAGAATAATCAGCTGGAGGAGGATCAGATTAGTAGTATTTCGTTTGAGGTGAGTTTGTGTTTGTGGTGTTTTGGTGTGAAGGTGGTACTGATGCGGGATGGGGTGGGTGTAGACGTGTAAGGGGTTGAGCCATCTGCATACGCAGCATATCATTCATCGTGATATCAAGTCGGATAATGTACTCCTCGATGCGCAGGGACGGGTGAAGATTAGTGCGTACCCTCCCTTCCCTTCCTTTTCGTGATTGCATACTGACGAAATACTCTGCAGCTGATTTCGGTTTCTGTGCGAAATTGACGGACCAGAAGTCGAAGAGGGCGACGATGGTGGGGACGCCGTATTGGATGGCGCCGGAGGTGGTGAAGCAGAAGGAGTATGGTGCGAAGGTGGATATTTGGTCGTTGGGTATGTTCTTCTTCTTCTACCCCACTATCTCCTTTCTCTTACAATTTCCCACCACACAGGCATCATGGCCATCGAGATGATCGAATCCGAGCCTCCCTACCTCGACGAAGAACCCCTTAAAGCACTCTACCTCATCGCGACGAACGG